TAGGAAAGAAAGCAACATGGCTTCTCTTCAGCCTCAGCTCGCCGTGCCCTGGAACAGCCAAAAATATTCTCACGTGGGCGCTAACGCTGGAGTTTGGCCCCATCCTGTAGAGTCTTACACACACCCTCAGGGGGTGAAGTCTGCAAAAGAGGAGACCAAGGGGGATTGAATAGCAGCCTTCACCTCCCTGCAGGGGGGCTGCAAAGAGGATGGAGCTGGGCTGTTCTCAGTGGGGGCAGATGGCAGGACAAGGAGCAATGGGCTCAGGCTGCAGCAAGGGAAGTTGAGGTTGGATATTAGGAAAAACTTTCTCACTAGGAGGGTGGTGAAGCACTGGGACAGGCTCCCCAGAGAGGTGGTGGAGTCTCCATCCTTGGAGGTGTTTAAGACAAAGCCTTGGCTGGGATGATGTAGTTGGGGCTGGTCCTGCTTGGAGCAGGGGGATGGACTAGATTTGACCCCCTGAGGTCTCTTCAACCCTCGTTTTCAATGATTGCAATACACTGGAGGTCTGGGATGATGTAGTTGGGGCTGGTGCTGCTTGGAGCAGGGATTGGACTAGATGTGACCTCCTGAGCTCCCTTCAACCCTCGTTTTCTATGATTGCAATACCCTGGAGGTCTGGGATGATGTATTTGGGGCTGGTCCTGCTTGGAGCAGGGGGTTGGACTAGATGTGACGTCCTGAGGCCCCTTCCAGCCCTCCTTGTCTGTGATTCTTTAATACTATGATTTTAAGTCTGTGCAGAATAGCAGCTTCTGACAAGGAAAGTGCCAAACAGCTCTAAGGTTAACTAGAGGATCCTCTTAGCTGAAGAATGTGTTTTTCTTTGCCTTTGATTTTCACTCGCGCTCATGCGATGGACAGGATTATGTGCTAAGTATATCCCAGCACTATCTACACCATGGTTTGCAATGCTGAGCATTGGGTGGCTGCACCCTTAGGGGATTTCACTGGCAAAGAGCTGCCTCGGGAAGTAAACCAGTTTTTTCCATGGGACCCGGATGGCATCTGCAATGGCCTAGCATTGGATAAGTCTGGGAAGTCCTTCCCCATGTTGAAGCATTCAGCATGGGCTTCAGTGTGGAGGGCTGGGCAGGCTGGATCTGGCAATGCCCGGGTTTGACAACCTCCGTGGGGTGGAGGAAGGTCACAGCATACTCCTCATCTTCCTAGAGGTGCTGCATTGGCAGAGATGCTCATCTATGCCCTTCTTAACTACGTTTTTTATTCCCCGCCATGGATCTGAGGCCCCTTTTCTTCAGGCCAGACAGGCTCCTGCC